CAGGGAAAACATCCAGGCATACGCAAGGGGGCCGAGGGTGGGTGGGAAGGAGCAAGCACAGCGCAGATGGCAGGGAATATATTTATCTACCCTCTCTGCAAGTTGCTGGCTGATGTTCTACTTTAGAGCAGAAAAGATCCCCTCCTTGTCCCTGCTTACCTCCTCAGATAAAGGTCCATCCAGTGGGCACGGCTCAGGAGCAGCTGAAGCTGTTGCTGAGGAACTTGCTGTGGGTCTTGAGCGTAGTTGAGTCCTCCCTCCTAACCTGCAAGCTTGGCAGTTACAGCAATAGCTCCAGCAGCTTTTCCTCTTTTCAGTAAAGGCAAGAAAGTATATTATCATTTATACTGTCTGCACTATGCAGTTTGCCTTCTCCTCCCTGTGCTTATTACCTCTTCAGACGTCAATCTGCACTGCCAAAGACCAAAAATTTTCTGCATAATCATTAACTAAAGGAAAAACATGATCATAACTCAGTCCATGATAAATCTTGAAGAACATGGGTGGGTGGGTGTGAACAACGCTGCTAGCGACCTCCAATTTCTTTATTCCCCCCCCCCCGCCTTTTTGCAAGACATATTTTAAAATACATGACATTAATAAAAACAAGGCTGCGATCTGATTTATTTTCTTGTGCTAAGAAGTCTTGTAAACTAGGGTATCTTTTTTTCTTCAATCAGCAAAATCTATTTCATCAGCAGTAGCAGAAAAGTACTGTGTTGTGGACTGAGGCATGACTATTAAGGAGCAGACATTTATAGCAAGTATTTCTTCTTCAGAATATTCTTGCAAATACCAATGAGTGTGATGTATTCCCTTACCCTGAGTATGTTTCTGATATTTGGAACAGGAGCAAAAAGCATCACTGCAGCTGTGTTCAAGCCTAGACATTCAAAATAGCCAACGGGAAAAGCAGAGAATCGGTTGCATAAGTAGCAAATTACGACATCGTTTGGTGCTCTCATGAAGTTCTACTTGAGGGAATAGAGCATGCCTTTTGAAAACTAACATTTTGTTACTTTTCCTGGTTATTTCTGGGTATGTGGAGTTCCTTACTGTTGTGCAAACACTTGACTTTCTTTATCATTGAGTATGTTCAGGACACACAAAGAACTAAACAAATGCCTTGTTAGCTGCATACTTAAGCTACAGAAACTTCTGCAGCTTCAGGGGCACCATCCGAGACATGTACATGGACAAAAAGTTCTGAAAGCTGATCACTTTCAGATATTTATTCTTGCAACTCTATGTCACAGCAGCATCTAGAATGGCTCTGCAGGTGGGCACCTCATCAGAGAATAATTACTTCTCACTCCACAACAGCTCTGGGCGAGAGATTTGGACTTAATTGCAAACTGAAAAGGAAAGCTGCATGCTATGCACTTAAGCACCACTTTGCACTGTAGGTATCGTAAGAAACAGAAAGTCATCAAATGTTGATAAACAGCAGCAAGGAGATCTCAGCTCTTTCCTCTCTCACTAACCTTCTCCTCCTGAAAGCATCAAATAAGTTCAACCAGAACTAAACAAAAGCAAAGCAAGTCGTCTCTTCCAAACATGACACCTAGCAACACAGTCCTTAAAACATCCCAAACCAGTGATCAACTACAAGGGTATTTGATCTTTCAAACTTTACTAACAGATTATGTCATTATCTCCCTCCCCCCACCTTTTGACCCCTTACTTCCCAAGATTAAAATTCTTTTCATGGTTTCTAACTACTTTTGATGCCCAAAATCTAGCCCATACCTCTGACATCAAACGTATTTGCCGCCTGTATGCACACAGTGTGCGTGTGGGTGAGTGACTTAAGAAGGTTCTTAGGTATGAAGTTAGTTCGGGGATATTGCATACCCTGCTGATTATCAAGAACAATTTCCAAGGGGGGAGGCGCAGGGGAAAAAAAAAAAAAAAAAAAAAAAAGCCTTTAAAATGCTGTCTGCTCCTGTGATTTTCAGCTCTTTCAAAAAGCAAGAAAGAACAGAAAAGCACCCCTGGTGTGTGGTTAGGTTAACAACAAAGGAACTATTCTTACCAGGTTCCTTCAGTAAAGTGAAGGGTGCTTTGATTGCATTTTTTGGTCTTGCTAATCTGACAGATACTGATGGATAATTTGGAACAGCCAAAATCTTTGTTCGGAAAACATTGACTCATACATGTTACATCCAGATGTTTTACTGGGTCCTTAATAGATATCAAAGCTTTCTTTAAATACTTGGAAATTGCACTTTATACAGTTAAGCGTGCACGTATGCAGGGGAAGGAAGTGACAGAAGGAGAAGAGCTCCATTAAGAGCAGCTTAAAAAGGAGTATTTATGCCCCCCAACATGGACACCCTAAACACAAAAGAGCCCAACACTGTTTCTGCCTAATCAAGTTTGAAAATTAATACCCCCAAGATTCTTAATGAGCAATTAGGGCCTTGCAGGCTGGTGTCTCCAACAGGTACAGGAACTTGTGTGTAAACACTCCAGTGCTGACTTCCCTGCCACCCCCTGCCTCACGGACGGCTCAGCAGCAGCCCAGCCTGCCGGAACCAGCCAAGCTCCATCTGGCTGCCTAGGTGGAAACACCCCCACGCCTTCTGACAGCTGGCTCTTCAACTTTTCCAGAGGTAAAGGGCTCCTGTGTCCCCCCTCCACTGGGATTCAAGCAAGGAAGAGATCTTTTGTCCGAGAGTACGTGGGGGAGGCGCCCCCAACCCATAAGCAGTCTTTCTGAGTAGCAGGTGATGACTGAAAGCCAGCAATGCACACCCCGTCGTTCTCAGCAGAGCCCTTCTCCCTGACAGTGCCCGAACCACTACTGCTGGAGAGCAGCTGAACAGGCACATGACCCCAAAAAGAAAAGAGCTGACTGCTTGTGGAAATAAAGGCACGCAGACAAATCAGACACAGAACAAGAACAGGCAGCAAGTTGCAGAGGGAATTTGCAATGCTGTGCAACTTGCAGAATTTCTAAGTCACTGGAAAATGTTGCCCCAGTCTGATTCTCACCAGCTCCTGATGGACAAAGCTTTATATAATGGCTACTCTGCTTTGCAGTCACTGCTGAATAAGCTCAGCAAGGAGGGTATTCACCCTTTTATAAGGTAAACAGGCAATCAGTAAACAAACCATTTCAGCCCAAGATGAGCAATGTTCTTCAACTTGGTAAGCCTTTCAGTAGAGAACCCTCCTAGTAGAAAACGAAACAAACAAATTGCAATGCAGACAAAACGTGACAAGTATCAAGGACAGACAGAATTTCTGATCCGCTAGGAGGAAGAGCTGAAGACCTTCTGCTGAAGTGCTGCTTTTCCTTCCCCAGCACGTCAGAGGAATCAGTCAGTCTCTGACAGAAGCGGGTATTAGGTATTGCAACAGAGAAAAGCAGGCAAGATCAGGCCATTCCTCTGCGCCTGTTTGCAATAGTGTAAAGAGTTCGTTAAACATTAGGGTCAGGAAACTTCCCAAGACAGATTTAGACAATTCACTGGTGAGAAAGGTACTCAGCAAAAATGCTGACTGCTCTTCTAGTTTCGACTAGTGTAGTCTGGGAACAAAAAAGGCATTAGCGTCACTACTGCCAGCCTTACCATGGCTGGTAGTGGCCCAAAGCATATCTGGTAGTTACTTAACAAGTAAGGGTGAATGGAGTCCCAGCCTCACATTCAGCACAAAGGCAGCCACAGGAACACAGTAGCTGGCATCAACACACAAGAGTCTATACGAAACTTAAGAGGAAAATTAAATTCTCCTTCCAATCTCAGAGGGATTCTCCATGTTGCATAGACCATAATCATACAGTTTCACGGGACTTACTTTTCCTCCTTTCTTTTGGAATCCAAACACAGCAGCACAAGCCTCCTTCCTGCACCACAGATTCCCATCCCTCAAAAGTTTCATGCCACGCCGAAGGAGAGCTAGTAACAGTCTGCCCTCGGCCACCGTCAGCAGCCACACAGAGCGAAGCTGCCTTTCCTCCTGAGGCTGGGCTCACGAAGGTGGGAACGCAAAATCCAGGAGCATTTTCATTAACCATGTGAAGTGCAGCACAGGAACAGAGGTCTGATTAGCCACTAGAGCCGAAATTCTTTGGAGTTGTTCAGAGAAGTTTCAATCATCTACTCCAGGTGGTCCTGCTCTGGCAGGGGGGTTGGACTAGATGATCTTTCAAGGTCCCTTCCAACCCCTAACATTCTGTGATTCTGTGATCATTTCCACAAGGGCAAAGACGACAGCTGTGCTTGCAAAGATGGTTTCTGAAAAAAGGAGCTACTAGAAAAATGTTCTCTTTAAAAGACCTTTATTTTGGTTGCACGGTTACAATTCTGAAGTCCATTTAGGCTTACAGTTAGATTGTTCCCAAATAATGTTTCATAGCTCACCATGTAAACAGTGCATTCTCTATCACCCTAGTGTACAAGACCTTTATAAAATACAGATTAAGTGACTTTTTCATCTGTACACTTTCAGATTAGTTCACCAAGATCAATTAAAAAGGCAAATAGATTAATTGGCAAAAAAAGTGTTGTTACATTTTTAATATATTAGTACAAAATGGCACAAAAAGAAAAAGGACGTTTTAAAGGCTATAAGCATCAAACGTCTTAAACAGTTTGAATCAGTTCAAACGATTTCAACTTAATTTCAAATACCACTGTTGAACTTGGAATTGAACTTGTAATCTTCTTTTCCTCAGCTGTATGAAAGACCTCACATACAGCTTTGGATCTGTTCACAGAAACCGAATCACAGGTTTCAGAACAGTGACATTCAAGTGCAGTTGGGAAGTTGGGAATTTCTGTTCTTCCCAGTAAATTTAAGAATTCACAGACTAGAGCTTATTTTCATCTGGCTGAGCTCACTGATGCACACTTCAGATGCAAATACACCAGACGTGCGCACATAAAACACAGTATTTCTTAATGCAAGAACTGAAATAAAAAAATCCACATAATTACATCATCCATCCTACCTACCTTTGCAGGAGGCTTCTGGGCATAACCATACTCAACGCCAGATACAGAGATATATGAAGCATCTAAAAGATTACAGGCAAACTGTAGGCTTAATTCAAAGGCTTTAGTTATAAAAGAGAGATCACACCAACTTCAGCAACCTACGTTTTATTTCTGAACCACCCATATCAAATGGGTAGGTGACTGGGAGGGAAGGGAAAGTGATAGAAAGTCATTTCTAACTCAAAAATAAATTCTGAGATGTGAATTCATTGCCTCAAGCAACAATTCAGGAGTTTGTTTTGGCAGCAACATTTAGCAATATCCCAAAAGATAATTACATGCCCGTCAAAACAAATTACCAGGATTTCGATTAGCCCCCTAAACCTTAAGAGGCTTCTATGTTTAAGTTAATGGAACAGTTTATGACTTGACTGGGTTTTTTCTGGTAAGATGGCACCCACATCCAAGAGGGCAGGCAGTTATACTGACAGTAGTATCGAGAACGTTACTTCTCGGGTTAAAACAAAAACCCAAAAAACTCTTATAAAAAAGGTAAGTGTGATGAAGTACAGAACCATTATCTTACTCAGTTTCACAATGAGCAAACCATGACTAGGAATTTCCTTTCATAATTTAAATACCAATTATGTTTTCTCCAGACTTATTTTACAAGTAACCATATGATGATTCCAAGAAGCAATACTCCAACAGCAAGTATAACCATAAGGATGCACATCTTCTTTCGGGACCTTTGCTGCCAATAGAGAAAATAACAAGTTGATTGAAAACTGCACTACCACATCACAAGACTACTCAAACGTTTTTATGGTCCTACTGCTTGTGCAACCTAACTAAATTTTGTCCTTACTAACAACAAGTCATATAAAGTTGTTCAAGGGAAAAAAAAAAAGTTATCCACAACTTACTTTTGTATCTGTATTATTCAACAGAATTATTTCAGTGGTATTTTCTGGCATATCTAATAAACTAACGAAAGACAAGGCAGTAACGCAATGAATAGACACAATTAGAACACTGGGGGAAAGAAAACGTGAGCGCAGGTGACTGCATACAGAGGAAAATGGACAATCAATCTGCACAGTAAAGGAGGTAGAACTGGTCTACTAAAAAAATATTTGAAGACTATTAATGCATATACAGAAGGGGACAACGGACTGCAATTTCAGACTTCTGGAAGACTGACTTTGCATTATTCACAGTGTTATTTTAAAACTGTTTTTGCTAAGTTTCTTAGGTACAACTTGCTCGTTAAAAAAAAAAAAAAAAAAAAAAGGGAAAAAGAGACCTGACTAGAGACCCAGTTCTATATATGTCACTACAATAAAGTGTAAGTAATGAGTGTGTCCAGAACTTTCACATCTCCCATACAGGTCTGTAACTTCAGATGCCAGAGCACCCAAGCCTAGCAGCAGCCTGTCATCCTTCATCTGAAGGATATGGAACCTGAAGGTTTCCTTCACAGCAGGAAAGGAAATTACCAGTGCGTTTCACAGGCTTTTGCTGATAGTCAAGGGATAATAACACTCAAATCTTGGGATTCTAGGCCACAGCTCCAGAAGTAAACCCAGGCTTTGCTCTATTTGGCAGAGGTTCTTCTGCCTCTGTGTTTTCCGTTCTTTTTTTCCCCTCTGAAGAACTGCATGTGTCAGTGCTTCATTGGAGCTGCCAGCTCTCTGCCCAGTACCACCCAGAGTACCAAGTTTCTTAACTATTCCCTTCTTCTAGTTTTATTGTCTCGCTGCCAATTCTCCCATCATCAGGCTAAGATTTCTTCATTTCATCATTTTACTTGCTAGAACTCAACCTGTTTGCTAGAGTATCTTCCTTTTTTAAAAATCTGTGGCCAGTTCTCTCCTTACACTCCCAGTTTCTTCCTTTTTCATCCTGGAGACCACCTCTTGTCAACACCGCATTGAAGTCAAACATTTCCCCTGTGCACTACTCAAGCAAGGCAGTGGACTGAAGACATGGCGAACTTATTTCATCATATACTTGATCATCATTTCTACAAATGCTGAAGCAGCAATGGTAAAGGGGGAAAGAAAGGACAGAAGCCTGGCTTTGCCCAAACAGCTCTGCTGTGCGGATGCATCGCACACGGCCGATGAGTGGTGCATACCTCATCCAACCACAAACAGGAGCTGGGTACCAACCATGTGCGGCCTTGTCCCCGCCAGCATGCCTGGGCCTCTAACGCTTCCTTGAGAGGGTCAGACCATACAGATCCAATAGTTGCCAAAATTAAAATAAGTCTGCTGAAAGCGGAAATGATTTTTCAGCATCTTGGAACAAGCATGAGTTCTCAAGCAAAGGAAAGCAAATCCAAAGCAAACTACACAATCCTTTCAAACACAGCCCAACTCTGCAGAGCGTTTGGTCTCTGCTGCAAGATCCACTGAACAGAGCTTATCAAAAGTCTTGGTAACCTTCCTTTGAGATCAGAAGATATTCATCCTTTCCTCCTCAACATAAAGCACAAAGTTTTTTCACTTTAAATTTCAACCAGAAAACTAACACTTTCCACAAAAAATTTTGTCTGCTACTATTTTTCCCCCCTGAACTCTGTCAGTATCAAAATAGGAGCTGTCAACCATACTCAGTGTGCCAATTAGTGCCACCTAGCATAAGTTCAAGGATGCATCCACCCCTTTCCCTCTCCCGCTGCTGAAATCAGCAGGCAGTCCTCCAGGCATTTTGTCATTGATTTACTGTCCTGGCTACTACTAACACACATAAGAGGATTAAATTTAAAAAAAAAAAAAAAGTCTAAGGACTAACTCTGACTTGAGAGAGAAGATTTATTACTAATAAGATTATTTCTAATAAGTTCCAAAAATGTTATAAAGAAGTAGCATTTAAAGGTATTTAAAAGGCTTTTCAAAAAAGTTTGAGAGTTTGAAATATGTTTTTAGCATCAGGGTAGCAACTAACAGAAGCTGGATATGTACAGCTTTGAGAAGATTTTTAAACAGCAAAAATTGGTGCTAACCGGCAGCATCTTCAGAAGACTTCCCTGCCTATCTTCCCTATTCCTCCAGTGATCTTTAAAGGCTTGCTCTACATATACAGGAATATGTTTTACTTCTTGAGCTGTAAAAGGAGGGGCTTGGTTGGTTGGGTTTTTTTGGTCAGTTGTTTGTTTGGGTTTGTTTTGGGTTTGTTTTTTTTTTTTTTTAAAGGTGTAACTCCAGGTGCTCTGAAACAGCCTGGATAATTTTACAAGAAACCCAAAGCTTTCAGAGAACACTTACTAGGTTTTATAGTGACCTAGAAATACCATCGTAGTCTAACATAAACCTTTAAGTAAGTCTCTGAGCCTTGAGGAAACTGATAAGCAAAATCTGAACTGGACAACAAAGTGGAAGTCAGGACTACTGAGAAAGGACAGTTACACACAACCGGCAGTCAGCATTGACATTACCTGGTAGTTTGCCGCTCTTGACAGCTGCTGGTTTGCTTGCTGCACATGTACCTCTGCATTTTCCACATTGGCTTCTATGCTGTCTTTATTTTAAAAGGAAAGATTTGAAGTTTTGGTTAGTAATAACCCAGCCAAAGGTTTGGAATGCTGAAATCCACTTGACAGCATATGTAATAGCTGCCCCTCAACTGCTGGTTTCTTCATCAATACCCAACATTTTATACCTTGCATCATGGAAGTTTTACTCCTCCCATACTTATGCCTGAGTTCATTTCAGAATTGCCCAAGCAGAGTAGCTCAATTCATGTCAGTAACAGCTCCCCTGTACTAGATGCAGGGCTGAGCCTTAGATACCAACTGGGGTAGAACTTTCAGTACTTCTACTTTTTTTTTTTTTAACTTTTACTTATCCTCCAACTTGATACTGCCTACCGTCTGCTCAGATTAAAAAAGTCCTAAGGCATATGAAATCAGAGGAAATACACACACAAAACACCCCAAGAGGCATGACTCTAGTTTGGTATTCTATCAAACTGACACAGATTCCACCTCCCCCAAATATATGAGCAGATTATGGGCTAAAGTGACCAAAAAAGCCCTGAAAATGTATGTCAGACATAGACAACACCAGGGCTTAGCAGCAGACTCCGAAAATATATTTTCCCATCGCATTTCGTTAAAAGAAGAAACCTGTCTGCATGGAGGGCAAAGCAGGAACCTTTGCTGAATCACTGATATCATTAGTCAATACACTAAAACTCCCCACATGAACTCCACTTTTACATACAAACAATTCAAAAACCTGCTTTTAAAGACATTTTATCCACATGAAAAACTACAAAATGCTTTAAACTACATTTCAAAACAGACTTTCTTAATGTATTCCCAGTCTCCTCAGCCAGTCTATCCATTACTAGGTTGCATCTGATTTACTTGAGCATTCTTATTCTCATTTGAGGATTTTTTTCCAGCAAAAGGAAGTTCTACATTGCTGCCCTCCAGAGAAACAGAATAAAAAAAATCTCAGAGAGTATTTGAATTGGACTTACCTATCACATCACCTTGTTCATGAATCATCATTCCTAGATCTTTAAAAATTTCATTGATGTCCATAATATCTGCCTGCAAGGAAACAATCATCACATATCATATTCTAGCATCTCTGTACATTTAGATACAAATATTGCTGCTTCTCCTCCCGAGCATGCATCCATAACTCTTTTCACTACATGATTAAAAAACCCTTTAATATAATTATTTGGAAGGCTTTTTTGGTATTATGAGACCAAGTTTATCATAATCAAACTAACTGAAGACGAGTATGTGCACAAAGTACACTTCACATCACATCACAATCAGGATCACTCATTATTGAGGCCTTGTCTACACATACATTTGTATCAGTTTAACTGAAGGGAAAGGCTCATGCCAACGTCACTTAAAAGCTATCTGTTCAAGCCAAATTAATAAAAGCATGTGCAGAAAGTACTTTGCATTAGTGTTGGTACACCTATTAAACTAAACACACACAAATTTCATAAGCACCACAGTTTACAGAAGTTACCTCTATAATACGGCCAGGCTACTGCACCTATGCCACATTACCCTGTTACCATCTGGTTATGATGAAGTGATAGATGCCAAGTTATCACTGTGCATATCACCTATTCTTAACTAATGACCGATACAAGTTTAGTCCCATTCACTGTAAGTTAAAATATGGATGGCAAGGGAGAGACTATTGAAAAATTTATACATAGAACAGATCTAGCCATATGCATCAGTACGGATTCCTGACAAACTCCAGTTCCAGAATCTTTCTTATTGATGGTAGAGATGTGGATTCCAAAATGGCTGCAAAAATTCATTTTTGTCTTCACAGAAGTCTCTTGATGTCAGTATTTCATCACACACGATGTGTAGTTTACATCTTGTTTTTAAATGTTTTTAACTTTTTGACAAGCCCTTAATCAGAAAAGCTTGAGTGAAATAGAGTATCTCTGTATTTCCAGAATTGTTCAAAAAAGCTGCTGACAAAATGAAGATGTTGAACAATACATGGGGAATACCTGGGAGGAAAGGTATAATTTTGCTTCACCTATAGTCACTGTTAAAAAAGGTTATATAACATGACCACTATGTTGGAGGGGGAAAAAAAAAAAAAAAAAGATACGTATATTTTCTTGCAATCACATGAGCTCTCTCTTATTCTGTAACTGAACCACTGAAGTTAACCACGGTATCAAAGCATGGCTTTCATACAGTAGATTTCTAATGTACATTTCACATCTAAAGGCAGTATTTGTAGTTTTGAAGGAAAAAACCCACACCCACAAACAAACCCTAACTCCTCAAGATTAATGTCTGCAATTAATGCTAATGTCACTATAAAACGCTTTTTCTTTGGAAACATTAAAAGAATATTCTGCTGTAAAACCACTTGTACGTACCTCAAGCTGCCTAATGGAAGACTCCCTCTCCTCAATAAGACGGAGGTCATCTTCTGTAATTTCTTCATCTTGCACTTGTGCTTGCGGTTGACTATCAAACAAAAAAAAAAAACAAAAAAAACCCACCCAGAATCAAACAGGCATGGTGAGAAATAACTCGGCAGAATAAAACAACAGTTAAGCGCATAGTACATACTTGACATTATGGGTTAACAAAATGCACGTTTTACCCTTGCCTGTCTAGCTAACAGGGGAGGTCTAACGGTCACACCTTTGGTATAGGAGGCGGCTGCTGTAGCAACATTGCAGCACGCAGCATGGAGCTTGCTGACTGGAAATTCCAAGTATGAATACAAAGGCAAAGTTTCTTCTGAATTATAGACTGCAGAACTCATATCCATCTAAGGCAAAAGCAAGCTAGCCAACAAAACAGAATCTGAGACTGGAAAGCAGTTCTTGGAGAGTATGAAAGCAATGGGAGATCCCAGCAAGCACTGGACCCGTATCACAACTTAACAGTTTTACTCTATTCACAGGCTGGACTCTATTTACCTAAGTCTGGGTCTCAGAAAGCCCAAATGCAGACTTAGGGCAGCTTAAGGAGATGACTAAAGCTGAAGGATGGGGGAAGAAGGGGGAGATTTTGTCAACTGCTCCTTTCTTCCCACCCATCCCACCAAAGCCTCTTCTCTACACTTGCCCTATGGAAGAAAGCCTAACTGAACAACCTATCCCAACACTCTCCAGAAAAAGGCAATTTATCAGAAAAAGAACAATTAAAAATAATAATAAAAATAATAATAATAAAAAAAATCAGCAGCTGGCTTCTCTGCAGACTGTTTATTATTCTGAGCTAGGTTAAGACTTATTAACAAATTCAGCCTACCTGTCCCAAGAGACAAGCGTTCCTTCTCTGTAGCTATCTTCAGGAGCACCGCCCTACATAAGCGGTGTTTAAAAATACAAATAAAACATTATGGCCCTGAAAGGAGCACTGTCAGCATTTCTATAATGAGTCAATATTACAAGGTTTATAATAAGTCAACTTCAAACTGAAACATGATTTAACATGTTCTCATCCTGATTTTGCTTTATGCATGCATAAAGCTGAAATACAAGCAAAAACATTCAGCTCAGTAACTGCCTGCTAAAATTTACAAGTATAGCAACATGTATTTGGCACAGAGTGAAAAGGCAAAACTGATATGCTTACAAGGAAAAGCTCAACATCTCAAGCTCCTCAGAATTTCTCCACTTTAATACCACACAGAAATCTGGCAAGAGATTCTTCCCTGTAGGAAGAATCTGTTGATGTCTAAAGGTGCAGCAAAGGAATTTCAAAATCTACTAAAAATTGCTTTTGCAAGACTATGGCATGAACCCAGGGGCAGTTCATGCCTTTGTGTGACAAAGGCAAGGAAAAATTAACAGCTGGGGGCGGGGAGTGTTATTACAACTTCATTCAGCCTTTACTATAAAATGATACAGCACACGTTCTGCAGTATTTGGAGTCACACATGAGCTTCTGTAAGCAGCATTGTGGAGGAAAGTTTGACATCGAACACCACCAACACCATTGTAAACAGAGTATAACAACACATTTTCTGATACTTACAGATACCCTTGAGCTGGCTCTTACTCTGGCTACAAACTCTTTTTCTTTCTCAGCAGCTTGCCTTTGGAGTCTTTGGAAATTTGTTAGTGCTGTGGTGAACTCCCCCACAAGACGGTCTTTCTGTATTTTTCTTTGACGCTATAAGAGAAAAAGTTTTACCAAGTCAAATGAGCTCAGGCTTTTCAAGACACTGCCATTTCCAGACTGCTCAATGCTATGGCATATACTCTTTTTTTTTTAATAAATAGGTGTAAGGGAAGGCTGTCTACAAAACTATTTGCAACTGCATGGACAAACCTTCCTTCCTACCTTCCCTCTGGGATCATGTAACTCTGCACAATTTGAGGCATTTAAAGAGGAAACCAATGTATTTATTGTCATTTAACAGCTGGAAATGAGAAATGGGCAGGGAAAAGAACCTTCCTTATTATCTGTTGATTATAAAACCCACTGTTTAAGCATGAAATACTTTGATACTGTGGATGCTAAAATACGCAAAGGTGACTCAATGAGGGGGAAGGGTGCAGAAAAGAAAGACCAGGTACGTCACATGTATTTTACATAAATGCTGGAAATACTTATTGAGCTGCATCCAGAAGTGAGTTCACATCCCCCCCTTAAGTGCTTAAGAACTGGTAAAAATACCTGTTTCAGCCTTTCAGGCTTTTTTTTTTTTTTTTTTTGGAAAGAGGCATACTGGGCACTCAGGAGAGCCTTCACCATATTTCCCCTAAATGCATACATTACATCAGCTCCTCCTTCCAAATTTCTGAGAGGCTATAATTTGCCATTTGTTGATCTGTTATGTATGCATTTCACTGGGAGGTAGCTTTGATGAAGATGCTCATGATAAAAGGAGAAAAATTAAACAGTCATCTCACTGCCAACTTTTCAGCTCCGAGACAAAGAAACAGAAAAACCATAAAAAAACCAAAACCAAATATACTTTGCCTGAACTAGAGCTTATATACCAAGACCAAATTTTAACACCTCTATTAGAAGTTTACAACTTGACAGGATCAGCACACGTGGATCCTGGGCTGCTATTTGAATTCAGTATTTCAAGACAACCCATTTTCCTAAAGGCTCCTTGGTAACTAGCCACAAACCAGGTAAGTTGTTTGAGCGACAATAACCTGAACCTATGTTTTCTGGGATCCTGTTGCTCTTCCCTTACTTAAGCGACAGACTTAGCTAAGACAAGAAACCACAGGATGGCAGACAGGAGTGTGCTAATGACAACAGCCACTTCACATGTTACCTCCTGACGATATTTTACACAGACCTGGGAAAGAAGCAGTTTAAAGACTGCATGTATTGTTTCAGTAACAGCTCCTGTCCACTCCTTTTAAGAAAGGAAAAGCCTGCAGGGAAGACATAGCACACATGCTGATCTGGGTGATGTAGAACAGACCTGTGCATAATCAAGTTATTCGGACAGTGGGTGAACAGGTCTGGCCACCGGCCTTGCAAGTGGTTTTGGCACACAATTCCTTGACCCTGGGAGCAGTCAGAGCACCTGGAGCCTTAGCATCACTGCAACGGATTACAAAGTGCCCAGCTACCTGAAATCACAGGCACAGCGCGCTGCCTTGATTCCTACCATTTCTGTCAAACTACCTCATTCCTGGTACGTAAAAACAACTTTGGAACAAGTCTGGACTACAACAAAACATTCTTATGTTGTAAGTGTCCCTGTTGTGCAAATGCGCTGACTAACTAAACAGCGCTTTGAAAGCCTGGTGAGGAGCACGAAAACAGGCATGCAGAACTGAAGTCATCAAATACTCTACATGAGCCAACATGATAGTCAAACAATTATACCTGTTCACTTGTTGCAGGCAAAGATCCAAACTCTTTAATGTATTTGTCAGTTTCTTTGGCAAGCTGGTTGGTGTATTGCTGCTTCTGCTGCCTAAAACCAAACGCAAAGTTTCATTAGAGACCATAGGGTTACCTTGTTTGAATTTCCCTGGTTCTCAGAAAAGCAGCAGTACTAAATCCTTCTCTAAAGTGCATGAAGCCATCTTCATTCTGTTCCTCACCGTGAAGGCATGACAGCATGGATTCCAGATGAGACAGATGCTGAAGAAGGTGCGTTCCTCAGGGTGACAGCATCAGTACTCACTTTTTTTTTAAAAATTTTTTTTCTATTTTCCTAACATGCAGCAATAGGTTTCTAGTTATTATGGACATCTAAAAATGCTTTTCATAGTCATTTTGAGGCTACAAATAGCTGAAACACCTGGTTATTTCTAAGTTCAGAATAACTTTAGAAAAGACCAAGTTTTTTCTGTGTGGAAGAATATACTGTAGCTTGAATGTAATTCCAATACCACAGCCCATGATAGGTCAATTCCTGATAGTTACTAGGAAGCTTATCCAAAGACATCTCTATTTTCCCATGATACAACAGCTGCGAACTTAGCTGAAAACTTCATTACTTACTAATAGCTTTAAAAAGCCTTGTCTTTAAAAGTTTTGCTATTTTTGCGGGGACTTTTTCGTCTTTTTTTTGCTTCCGATATTGTTGTCCCAAAAGTGGGGTCTGGTACCTGGTGTGCAAAATGCCAATATACACATAGAGTCACGGTAGTTTATTTCATTGATGCGCAGTAAAGGCTGTCTCTCCCAAGACAGCACACCTGGCCTCAGAGTCTTCCATAATTATACACTGAACTAATACATATTCATCATTATTCCCTTCAGTGATCGGTTCTTTTTCCTCGCTTCTAATGCAAATTAGTGCACAGCCTCTCTCGTCGTCTTCTGTCTTCTTCAAGTATGTGGTATCATTTGGGTAGGTGGTCAGTAACTCGGTGGTCACAATCTCCCCTTGCTGGAATTACCTTTTGCCTGTTTCTCTAATCTTGGCAGTCCCAAGCAGTTCTTCACAGTTGCTGACCAAACCACAATCCATCACTGTTTGTGACAGAAATATCCTATTTATCGACGAAGCCACATTGTTGAGTAGCTAGTTCCTAAATTCAACCTTAAATCATGTCTAGTTACCGTTTTACCAAACTAGGGTTGGGACTATACAATGGACTTTTAGCAGCTTCCCAGTTGCTTCAATCACATTTTACATTTCATTAATAACAATGATAACAACATTATCACACACTCCTTTACCAAGCTTTATATTTTTTTTTCCTGGAGCAACTCAAATTCTTTACCTGCTTTTGCATCCTCCTCCCCAGTGTATATAAAAAGGTTTCATCTGGGAAGCTATTAGCAAACAATCAACATCAGTATTTAAAATAACTCTTCAGATACATACAAACATGAAAGGAAAGGCCAAATGTTCAGGCAAGTGAAAAACCGACAGATGAAAACTCAAGGAAGCTTACTACATATATTACCTCCATAAAGGGATTGGAACATGTTCTTCACAACAGTTTCCAACCTGTTTAGCTGTGAATTTATGCCTAGATCCCAACCAGTTATTGCAAAAACCGTGTATGTTGATTTTCACCCATTCAGTCTCCAGTAGGATATCCACTGTGGACTGTACCTGGTTAATGTTACAGGCCCTCAACTTACGCTACTATAAAGCAATTTGGCTGTTTCCACAAAATGAATGTGATGCCTTTGGTCCAACACACCTCCTCCTGCTATTCAGTGCAGCATTAACCACGCTGAAAACTTCCAACTTTCTCACCCACAGGGTTAGCGCAACACGCTCCTTGCATGCATTTATGATGCCAAGATTAACGCGGTAAAGGAGTTTAACGCAAAAAAACAATACCAGTTCAGTAGACCCTGCAAAGAAGCGCAGAGCAGCTTATGTGCCTCTGCTAGTGGCGTATTAATGAAAGTCCACTTCAGCTGACTGAACTACAGCACAGCATCTGCCTTGCAGCCTTATTTCACTTCTGTTATTTTAGTATTTGTGGTACGTGTTTATTCTATAATGTCATCCCTTACTGTAGCTTTCATCACTAAAAAAACCCATTCCCCTTTCTCCCCTAGTACCACATCTCACAAAAAAAAAACCAAACCAAAACCAACAATATATTCATTATCTTGTAAAACTTAGAGAGCCGAAGAGCTGACTGGAGTGGAGGCGTGCGTGTGTTTGCTTTTTAAATAGTGATACTGCTTTCTGGTCCTGCCACCTTCCCTTTGCTGACATACAGCACAGGTTTTATAGATATATTGATACTCTAGTACCTCACTCTAGTTTACAGACTACGCAAGATTAGTTTTAAAAAGCGCATCTCAACATTTAAGTTTCAAGTACTTCTCTAAACTTGCCTTTCTTGGTGAGATCAAGCACTTGGCCTAACAAAAAAAAACACCTCATCACCTGCCAGGAAACTGTTTACAACGCAATGAAATTAAACCTTTTCATGTGAAGTACTCACAGCTGTTGCCTCAACTCTGGTGTGTCTTGTGGTGTTCCAAGCTGATGGAGTATTCTTTGTATTTCGGCAGCTGTTTGTGAAGAGGAAGAGAAATTTTAATGGAGCACAGACAATTCCCGCTTAATTTTATGCGGTTTTGCTTGACAATTCTAAAGCCATAAAAGTCGACAGAAACTGACACTCAAGACTTTTTCAACCTGCTACAAAGACTCCACTTAAGAAGTCCCAGAATAACTACTGAATGGTTTTTGCCAAGTCAAAGAAAGCCCAGCGTTTCTTATAAAGGATGGGAATGTATTCAAGTGTCTAGGTAGAAACAGGCAATTTAAACATCAGTTAATAGTTTCGCTATAATAAATATAAATCAGGTGGTCTAATATTAATTTTTAAAATAAGCAGCACAATTCTTATTCTTGTTTAATCATATTTTATGCATGTCATTTTGGAAAGCCATATGAAAGACTGCCATGACATTACCATATTTCAGAACCAGTGCATTAACGAAGACAGAGCAACAAAGCATTCGTGGGCTTACAGTACATTAAAAAAAAACCCAGACCAGTCAGGTGTCCAAGTTTAAATTTTAATTTTGAGATCCTTACATTTTTAAATGTGGAATACACTTAAAAATCTCTGGTGGTTTGTATTTCATAAAATATGTTAGCTCTGAACTGCAAGAAGTGACACATCATCTGAGCCTAATTTTCAGCTTAATACATTTTACTGTCACATGAGAAAGCAAGGAGAAAAATGGACAGACACTTAAAGGATATGCAGTTTAACATAATGCAAAACTAATATCCTCAACATGCCTTATCTCAGCTTAACACACTCACATCTTCCAAAACAAAAGAATATATATGCAAAATAACTTATTCTTGCTTGACCTCAACTAAGAGTAGACTTGTCTTCCCTGTATTTCTGTGGCCCTCCCCAGACAGATTGCTGTACCACACAGTCAGGAGGAAATATGACGGTATGATAGTGGGATCCCTACTTTACCAGCACGCTCTTTTTTTTTTTATTTCCTAAATACAGTTAAAATTGAAAGGCATCTCTAAGTAATGGAGAAAAGCACACACACACTAAAAAAAAAAGAGAGTATTTTTCCATATACCATGGAAGAGAACTGTAACAGACAGAACTTCAGTTACAAGAAGAAAGTTACCTGTGACTTATGTTAAGCAGTTAGTTAAAACTGGAATTCCTTAGAACATTTTTAGTAATAATATTAATTCTATCTTTGTTTCATAACAAGTCTCCAGTAAATGAGGTGATACTGGATTTTCTACACTGCTTTACCTAACATCCTGATGCCGACAACTGCTATAGCCAATTCATTCTGTGCTCACCCTGGTAATGAAGGTACCAAAAAAAAGGGGGAAAGTTAGTACAGAACTTTTGCATGAGGTAAAAATCAAATACTTCAAGGCTGAAGTCTTTGGGGGGATTGAGTGGACATAAGCTACTAAAGGAATTACTGAGGGGAAGATGGGTTTCACGCAGCCTGTATGTTAATTGAGCTAAAAAGCAGCAAAACAGAAGTGGAAACGTTTGCACTTGCCCGCAGTCGCCACCTGCCGCCGAGCGCCGGCCCTCGCCCGCCCGGCGGGGGCTCCTGGGCGGCTGGAGCAGCCCCCACGTACCGATAAACACCGGCTTGGGGGAGTGAAGCCTTCCTTTTATGTTCTGCGTAATGCATCGCTTTAAAACAAACACACAAGAAGATAACCGGCCGGTGTTATCTTCAACAGTGTGAAGCTTTAGTACCTATAAATTATCCTTTATTCGTTCCGACGCACTCTCCCTTCTGATTCAAGAGCCAAGGAGCTCTGGGATTCTGTAGGTACTTTTACGATGAGAATTAAAAAAAAAAAATAAAAAAAAATCCCAGAATAAACTGCAGGCACTCTGTTAACAGCCGTTTTGCAGACAGAAAAAGTACCGGTGTGTCCTACCGCCACCTAGAGATGCGTTATTTAACTGCAAATCAAAAAAAATACAGGTTTGTGCTTTACATAAAGGCTCTCACTCCAAAAATTCTCTGAAACAAAGCCTATGCTTCAAATGTTTGCATTCCAAGTTAATTAGATTTTTATCCTAGGTCTAAAACTGAACAGAAGTAGATAATTGTCAGGAAATTAGCCATATGATTCCAGGCAGAGGGAAGTTCATGCCAGTTCAGGTGTTGCGATTCAAGAATTCAGCACAAAACTAAAACACATTTTAACAAGCCACCTGTAGTATGCATCAAAATAGCAAAAGGTTAACAGGCTTTCCAATCTCAAGGGGAAAAAATAAAATAAATTAAAGGAAAAAAAAAAAACAAGGACTGAACTAACACCAATTTTTCCAGGCTTTCTCTAATATAGCATTTTCCACCTTAACCTTTCATAATAAGGATATTATTTAGGGAAAAAAAAAAGGCATTTCTCTTTTTAATTTTTTGTTCATATGAAGCATACTGCATTGAAGAGCGCAACATTGCTTATTCAAGTAACCAAACAGAGAAAAGGCAGAGCAGTAAATTTTGGCCAGCAGTCTTCAGCATCACTCCTGAAGCTGTCTTCATAGAAAAAGCCAAAAGCAAGTTGGTAGGACCAGCATAACACAGGAAGTAGAGAAGCTGACCTTCCCGAAATCTTGATTTACAGTACATACCTGCAGATTGACGAGTTTTTTCAGATTTCTTACTGTAGCTACTACTCATTCAGACATCTGATATAATATCACACGTCTAATCACAAAACCACCTAAAGCACAGACATTTGTCCAAACTCATGAACTTGTACAGCTTTACCAACAAAAACAAAATTTACAAAAGGCTTTAATACATTACCACCCGGATCACAAAGGTACAGTGTCTTACTCCCTCACGTGCACACACAGAGATCTTACAGAATTTGATTCATAGTAGAACTGGCTTCAAAACTTCTTAGCTAGAAGTCAGTATCCCTTCCTTTCCTCCAGGGAAAAGTAGGGTAGCCTTAGCCTCCCCTCCCAAAGGTTAAAACAGTTGGAACACCTCTGCTGGCTCCTTCCACTGCCCCATTTGGGAAACAAGCAGGGAGAGGGTCTTGGCACTGAAAGGGGAGAGCAAAACTGCTGGAAACCTGGGATTACTCTTCATAAAACAGAGGCCCCAAGTTCCCGGCTTCACTGCTGATGGTGGTATTTATAAGGGTACTGCCTCCCTCGCTTAACCAGCTTTTCGCTCCTATGCAGGGAGTTCAGGCCGGCACATCAAGGCACCGGCCAGCTGCTTTGCTGCCTCTCAATCCATCACTAATGCTGAAGTGTCCCGCAGAGCCAAAGGCTTAGGTCCAACTCACAAAGTCCTAGCCCTGCACTATAAACACACCGGTAACAGTCAGGGACCAAAGATCAGATCTGGCACAGTTCTGACAGGTTCCTAGGTTACCTCACCCTTTATGGTTTTCCCACTTCCCAATTCTTCCAGCTTCCTAAGGAGCTCTGAAAGACAGGAGTAATACAACTATCAGAGGACCCTCCTGTCCTTCTGGGCATCACCAATCCTGCAACAGAGCCTGACTGGATCTTGCGCATGACTTTAATCCATTTCAGTGCAAAGTCTGACACTGTAGCTCAGGTTCCTTGGGTACGCGCAGCTGGCTGCTGGACTTTGCTCAGGAGCTGCAGAAGGGCACAAACCGTGTGCACGCAGGCGTTCTTTGCTCTTCACCAAAGTCACCAGGACGTGGCAACAGCCTCCGTCAGCGTGCAAACTCCTGCAGCCACTTCTAAGTTGAAGAAGATCTGGGTAGATGTTTGCAGGTAATGAAGATCAAGAGGTCTTTCAGGGCTCATACTGCAACCCTGCAGGAACAGCACCCTGCCAGATGTGGGCTGGCAATAAGCCATCACAGAAGGCAAGTCCCCCTTGGGAACCGGGCAGCACAGGAAGCAGGGTGCATGACACCATGCAAGCAAAATGCATTTTGTCCAAGCAACTGCTGTCTTGCATGCAAAAGAAAAGAATCTCACTTTTTCCACCTGAAAATGAGTCTTGTATTAGAAAGAAGCAATACGGTATTAGTGAAAAAGACTTTTCACTTGTCTTTGCAGCATTTCTGATGTAGATCTCATAATACGTAACTATTGGCTGATGAAAGCTACTCGGCTACTCTCAGACCAGTCACATGCTCAGGAACAGGTTGGACACGGTTAATGATGAGCCAGGGAAACAATTAAGACCTAATCTGAATTCCTACAGAGATAATTATTTGAGTCAGCGCATGTTTACTTTTACTAAGTCAAACAGTGGTTCCACTTCTAGTCAGTGGAAGCTCTTTCTCTAGTCAAAGACAAAAAAAAAAAAAAAAAAAAAAAAAAAAAAAAAAAAAAAAAAAAAAAAAGAGCACAGAAAAAAATAGTAATAGTGTCTCATATAAAAGGCCTTCTTTTCTCTACATGAGTTACAGGAGCAGTGAGATTTACAGTGGGAATATTTACATTTTTTTAACAGGTAGGAGTATTTGAGAAATATGTTCCTGTCAGATCTGCAAGACATATTACTTTTTCCGTAGATAAAAACATATTTCACATACTGGATCACACACTATCCTTGCTCAACAGCTGGCTTTTAGCTAGCTAAAGAAGAAAGTTTCATGTCCTTTCTCCTCATCTTCCTCTATTTTTCAGCCAGCTCTGCAAAGCTGTTCCATTACCACGAGTAAATCCATGTTGACACAAATGCTGGTTCTGCTCCTCGAACATGAAAATGTTTAAGATCACACAGGAAGTTTCAAACTTAAAGATACAAGCAAATAAATTAATACAATGAAGACAAAAACGTAAACTACTCCTTGCCTCTCAGAATATAGGAGCAAACAGTTATCCCCCACTGAGAATTAATAACAACTGTACAGGCTGTAGCACCATAGCATTGTTGCAGAAAAGATAAAAATAAAAAATAAAAAACCAAACCTTTGAGTAAATCCTAATGTTTGAAAGGCAAAGAACTAGAGAAGGGAAAAGAGCAGCAGGCTGTAGGTCACCCACCTTCTCTGGGAGGATTGAGAAGTGTCCAAGCACCATGTTCAACCCTAA